GACGTCACCTCTTCTTTGTCTGGCTAGAAGGCATGGATTTCCATTGTCACTTTCCTTCTTTCGCATTCCTTTTTCAGTTTCTTGGCATCTGTATTGACTGGTATATTCAAATTTAGGGACTGGTAAATAATTCTTATAGGTTTTATCTCTTCTAGGTTTGCTATCTTATCAGGACCGACAATTCCGATCATTGGTGAGGGTGAAGAAGAGGCAAATGATAGGTAAAGCAATCTGTTTCTGTGTGGATAAAGTTAATCTTCATTTTCGAGATTTTCCTCTGTGCGATAAGCTGACAAAAGCTGTTCTTGGCAAAATTATATAGGTCTTTAGAGACAGTATTAGAGACGTTTTGCTAAAATCTGATGGTTCTGCAGTTCTTATCTTTAAATATGATTTGCTTAGAATTAAGTTATTCATCTATGGATGCATAACTGTTAAATTCTTCTAGTGAATGCTTCTCGCTAGTCTGTGTCCTCCTTCACGGCAAATGTTTACTTGCGGTACTTTTCTCTGTAGCCTTTTTGGGTACTTTTATCCCCCACTCCTTGTACTCTTGGTTCTGATTTTCATGTAGTGTATACTTTGGCACTAAAATCTAATAAAAAAGTCAACCTCGAGAAGTTGTGTAAGAATAAGTTGCTACCCTGTAGCTCTTTTGGCTCACGCCTTTGCTTTTGAGTGAAAATGAATCCGTAAATTGTGAACATTGTGCTTTCAAATGTGAAATGGTTGATTTTAGTATAGTTTTATCTGTACATTTGACATTAGTCGAGTAAAAGTTCCAAAAAGGGTTAGGACAAACTTCCAAACACTCTATCCAATAGAAGCCATGTGCTTAAACTGAAAGTCAAAAGCCATAGCCACCCCAAATAGGCTCCTGGACTTGACCAAAAAAACTGTGCTATTAATAGTTTTAGATTTTTTATGTTTATATATGTTTTGGCTTAATTCCTTGGTTAGGTATGTGGAGCAATTGGTTGCAAGTGCAGAGGCCGCTGTGGAGGAAGTCATCCGTCGCGGAGTAAGCTACTCTTCTCTTATCAATCTACACAATTCTTGTAAATGAGATTATTTCAACAGGTTTCATTTATATCATTTGCTGATTAAGGTTGCTCATCCAAACAAAATTGCTGTTGGAGGGCACTCATATGGAGCATTTATGACTGCAAACCTCCTTGCACATGCCCCTCAGTTATTCTGTTGTGGGATAGCTCGCTCTGGAGCTTACAACAGGACACTCACACCTTTTTGTTTTCAGGTAGGCCAGCGGTTGAATTCTTAAAGTATTTCTTGTCTTGCTTGACCTTGTGTCTTCTGAAGTTGCTTTTTCTTACTTCTGTTTGAGCCCTGACAATTGGTACCGTGCCTCTTTGTTTCTATAGAATGAGGTCAGGACTTTGTGGCAGGCTCCTAAAACATATGTGGAGATGAGTCCTTTCATGTCGGCTCATAGAATAAAGAAACCAATCTTGCTTATCCACGGAGAAGAAGATGATAATTCAGGAACACTACCCATGCAGGTATACATACATACGTACATACGTACACACACATACGTACGTACATACTTTATATACATTATATATATGTTTCCAAGTCTAGTTTCAGGTTTATTTAAGGAAAAGGATACTGATTTTATATATGATACTCTTGGGTGGTGTCTTTGTATTTTCTTACCCTCTTATACTCTCTCAATACTGGTTTATTTCAGCACCGATTGATTTTTCTGATTACAAATGTAAAATCACTAACCTGCTCGCCACTTTGATTTACATTTGTGTTTGTTGCAGTCGGACCGCTTTTTCAATGCTTTAAAGGGTCATGGTGCTCTTTGTCGCCTTGTAGTTCTTCCCTTTGAGAGCCATGGCTATGCTGCTCGTGAGAGTGTCATGCATGTCCTGTGGGAAACTGATAGGTGGTTACAGAAGTACTGTGCATCAAATGCTTCTGATGTAACTGCAGATCTCAATTCTTGTAAAGATGATGAAAGCAAAGGAGTGGTGGGTTCAGAAGCCAAAGTAGTTGCCGCTAGTGGTGGTGGTAACCTAGAGTTGGCTGATTCTTATCAGGATCAGTTAAAATGCATTCCAAGATGATCACTGTGGTACTTACTACATGCTTCCATGGAAATATTCCAGCATCATTCTACGTTAGGGTCATATCATTGTGTATAGCATGTATGAAGTACTGCCACTTTTACTGAGGTTATCATGAAAGGAACGATTAATACCTAATTAATCTATTCTAGCATTATGTGCTTCGACTTTGCTAGAAATACCTCTGTTGTTTGTTGCTGAGGGTTTGTGCATATTAAATGATCGCAGAAGCACTATTTTAGATTTCACCATTTCTTTGTGTTCTTTCCCCACTTGCCACAGATATGTCAATGGCCCCTTAATTTGTTTTCCCTATTTTTTGAACTGAGTAGTTTTGGAACCTTTAGAGAGATTCACTTTGAAATCTACAGTGTGCGTCTTTCTGAGCTTCATTTCATGTATAGACAAATTCAATCATTTCGATTTTCTGAATTAACATCCCAAAGTGAATTAGCAACTCATGGATGGGACAGCTCGTACGTATTTATCTTCTGTATTGTTGTAACTTGCAGAGGAATGGAAGATGCACATAGAAGAAACTTGGATTGGCAGCTGTCTGTAAATGGTTCCTGAGCGGATCAGACTCTTTCCTGAAGAGCAATGCCTACCTGATGATAGAAATGACTGCTTTGAGGATATTTGACTGGCGACGTTGCACTCAGAGGCCTCCCTGATTCATTTGATTTTGCTGCGGGTTGTCAATTGGTGGAGGATCGATTGAGGTTGTGCCTTCATCAGATGTCCTGCATGAAATGTTGTCTAAACCGCAATGGAGCGGCACTTGCAAAATTCAGAGTTCTCCATTGCAGTTGAACGCGCCATGGTTTGATTGCATGGCTTCATCTTTCCGTCAAATTATCATGCCAGACCAATGAGTTTTGTTTGTCGCTCACTCAGATAAAATTATACATGGTAATAGTGAAATGCTGGATCTCGAACTCAATAAAGTACTGCCGCGCAGGGAAACATATGTCATGGAAAACTTGGGTATCGGTTTTTCTTCTCTTGCTTTAGGATGGTTCTGTTCTGACTCTGCTTTACTTTTGCTATTAAAGTTTACCGTGTTGTGCTATGTGGATTACTTGTTGCGACGTCACTATGTTTGAGTTCTTTACATGCACGCGAAATTGCATTCCTGATCACTGGTTGCAAGCACTCCAAATTGCTGCTAGTCATGTTTAGCGAGTATGCTATGGGGGTGTACTTTATGTATCGTCTAGATTTACCAATCAAAAATACGTTGGTAGTTAATATATGACACGGGTACTTCAGGTAGAAATGCTGCCTTCCTTAGTCATGACAGACTTTTCCTATCTTGAATTTATGAATGTTTATTCGGAGTAAGAAAAGGCGGAAAATCCCCTATTATTATTGCCTTTTGAAAATCCGCTTAGGTGTTTCATGGTGCTTTACTGCTTATGATGTATGTCGAGTGTTGAATTGGAGATTTTGCAGGGCTTAGTTGGTTGGCCGTTGGCGTTCCATGCAAATTGTTTGGATCGAGTCTACCCGTAAAGGCCGGAGGTACGAAGTCGACTGACTCCTAGAGCTTGCATGTTGTTTCACGGATCTCTACGCTGAGGATTATCCGAAAAAAAAAACTAGAAAAGAAAAATACATTCTAAGCAAGCATTTACATACGGACTAAGCATTTAAGAGGCGAAACTTGAAATCGAAACCGAGGATCGGTTGCTTATCGAAGCACCAAATTCCAGTCCATTTCACCAACTTGACTAGCCCCTTTTTGAGCGATGAACGATGAAAAGTCTTCCTAGTCCTAGACGAAAAACCAAGCTTTCATTTTCACTTGGACGAGCATGACGAGGCTAATAGCCCGTCTTTATACTCACGCCACTTGTGTACGGGAAAAAACCTGATAGAAGCATAGAAAATAGAGCAAGGTGGAACTTGGTATTATTATTGTTATTATTATTATTATATTTTAGATTAAACCAGCCACTCAGTCCGAGTAGAAGTCAGAGCTGCCCATCTCTGACTAACCAGGCTCGAGACTGACCAGATGGAGCGACGATTTTCCAGCATCTTGCGTTCATTTCACATGTGACTTCCAATTCACAAGTAAATGATCTTTTCCATCTTTAACGAGGGAATGCAAAGCAACTCTTTCGGGTCTTATGCCATGCACTCAACCTAAAAGCACACAATTGAATAATGAAAAATACTGAAGAGCGCAAGGCCACCACCTACTTTCCCACCAGATTAATTGAACCGGAGCCAAGTCAAGTCCCGCAAAACGGACGAAAGAGACAAGGCGAAAGCCGACAAGAGAAGATCCCCAGCTCCAACAGCCCGCCCTCCTGGAATCCACGCCCGCCAAAGACCCACCCAACACCAGGCAAATACTACCTGAGCCAAATACTTTGTCACTTTGAAAAATGGGTTGGCCCCCCCCTCTTCCTTAGGTCAAGAATAGCTCAACCAGCCACTTTGTCACTTTGATTTCATGATCAGGGAAATCTTTTCTTCTTCTTTTTTGTGTAAATTTCACTTATATGTGCTAGATAAATTGCGAATCTTGCATTTCGACACATGAAAGATAGGTGCTGGCGAACCGAGTCCGATCAATCGACGAGACTTCACAGCTTTCAGTGCCCTGTTCGTTAAGCACAATAAAAGTCTTGCGAGCACTCGCCGACAGATCTTTCGACCGTTCGCTCACATTCTCCTGCGCTGATCGCACGTTCAATTCGTCGATTGATTTCAACGTGCATAACGTCACTCTTTGAAAAAATAACACCCGTCGTATTGTTATTATTATCATTTTTATTATCGTTGTTGCTGTTATTATGATCATTAGTACAATTACTAGTACTATTATTTGATAAACAAACTGAAAATTGAAGTCAAACAAAAAATCAGACTTTCCAAACTCCCCACCTATAATTTCCCTCGCACGCACGACACTCAACTCAAAACACTCTCTCTCTCTCTCTCTCTCTCTTCTCGTCTCTTCTCTTCTCTCTCCCTAACATGGCAGTCTGCCTCTGCTCCGCCAAGCTCATCGCCGCCTTCTTCCTCCTCTCCGCCATCCCCTTCGCCTACCTCATCTCCCTCGAGCTCTCCCCGCCCACCACCCACGTCCTCCACTACCACAGCTCCGGCTTCCTCCGGGAGTGCGCCAAGTGGGACGCCCCCGGCCGCCGGTTCCTCGTCTCCTTCCTCGAGGGCGGCGTCGGCCAGGTCCTCGTCCCTGACGACCGCTCCCCCGCCGTGCTCGAGGAGGCCACGGTGGTCAAGGACGCCGACCTCGCCGGGAACGCCTCCCTCGGCCTCGCCGTCGACGGGGCGCGGGGGCGGCTGCTCGTCGCCGTCGCCGACGTGATCGGGAACCGGTACTCCGCCGTGGCGGCCTACGATTTGTCGACGTGGAAGAGGGCGTTCCTCACGCAGCTCAGCGGCCCAAGTAAGCGGGAGAGAGAGAGAGAGAGAGAGAGATTATTGAGTGAATTGAATCATTTTTTTGACGCTGACATTGACATTTCCTTTTTTTTCTTCTTTTTTGCTGTTGCGTGGTACGTCGTCTGCATTTACTATATTGGTTTAATAGATATTATAATCTCCAAGAAAAGTACGCATAGATTTATTTTTCCGTGTTATGGAAAGAGGTAGTTTGGTGGAGAAAAATATGTGAAAATTAGCCTATGAAAAAAAAAAAGAAAAATGCAGGTTTGGTTAGATGCATTATATGCCCTTTAATTTCAAGAAAAAATATTCCGGGCGTTCTCTCATTTATTCAAATTCCTATAATATTTAATCTGAGTGTTTTCGCGGTATTATTTTAGCTAGGTTGCTTTGAGAAAGAAGTTTTATAGGGTGCACATGTAGTGTAAAATAATTTTTTTTTTTTTTTAGTATGGTTTGTCCGGGCAAAAGGACTCAATATTGCCAATGGAATCAGTGATCTTGAAAACTGCCTTATTTTATTTATTTACATTACAAGATCTTAAATTTTCGTTATCCGGAGTATAAATGATACGGGGGCTTTTTTCGACACTGATTTCTGGATAATGAATTTTCGAATTATATTGATTGTTGCAAAAGAGTAATTTTTGTGGCATTTATTTCAATTGTCGTAGGGCCTTTGTAAATGTGTACTGCGGTGATACTTTTTGGTATGCCCCGGCAAAAAAATTGGTTTAAACCGGTAGATAATTTTCTTGAAAAACCGATCTTGCGAATATTTTTTTAACTTTATATTCATGATCTATTTTGGGAAAAAATATTGTCATCTGAGGTTTTTTTCCTACCGTGACCTGACTGAGGTGGAATCCCGAAGGTGGTTAGCGGATTCTATATCACGTCTTTCAAAAGTCATAAATTCGAGTCATGTCGTGAACATCTCTAATTAGATTGTATCTTAGACGTCCACCGGCAACCTACTGAGGATCCGGTGATGGGGACCCTTGCTATAAAGTTTTCAGAGATAATTATGCCGGTCCAATCTCTCCGTCCTTTCACTGATTTAACGAAATGAAAGTTTGAGATTTTTGTATTTGGATTTGTTTTCTAGACAAGCTGGTCCTTGTGCATCATCATTCATTGGTGGGTCAAATCAATGGGTCGGGGTATGGTGGTTGATCTTTTCCTTTGAGGCTGCATTGGGAAAGTTGGAGTGAAAAATTGGACTACTTAGACTTGTAAACTATTTATCAGAATATAGGCAACAATGAAATTTTTTATATTTTCAATGAATGCAACACCTAAGTATTTGCCCTCCTTAATGGGGCAACGTTTCCATCACCACACGGTACATCAAGCACCGAAATCTTGGTGACATTAAAAACACTTCGCAAATCTTTAGTAGCATGAAAATTTGGGATTTTGAGGGTCGGAGCCAGATCCATACCCGGCCCGCACCCAAATCCGACCTGGTCTGTTTCTCGTTGTTGGTCTTTTTTTTTTTTTTTTTTGGTGGAATCTACTGTTTTGCCATTCAGTTCATCACATGTGGTGTCATGAATTGGATTTTAGTCTTGGGCCAAACTAGAAGGTAAGGTTTGGTCACTTGCTATTAGTAGTTGGTTCCTCCATAAGTACTTGATCTTGAGCTGACATCAACAACGGTTGGAATTAGGCCACTTACGCTACGCTTTGGCCGTGTAGATCCTACATTCATCGAATCACCAAAGATGGCGTTCCTATGTGTAATGTCGATCCCATCATACAATTTTTAGATTATGCATTGTCTTGGAACAATATTTTCCTTGTTACGGGAGCCAATTTAGTTGTGCATCAGTAATACAAAGTGCTGCTATTCATGTTTAGCTGGTAGTGCTATGGGGTGAATATGTAAGTATCGTACATTTACCAATCAAGAATATGGTAGAAGTTTTTGTACGGTACGTGTACTTACAGGTTGAAATGCTATCTTCCATAGTCATGCCCAACTTTTTTCTGTCTAGAATTTATGTAGGTTTAAAAAGCATTAAGATCATTTAGAGAAAACGGTGGGAGCAAGAAAAGGTAGAAGGTACCCCACTATTCCCTTTCGAAAATCCGGTTAGGCGTTCCGTGGTGCTTTATTGCTTTTGAAGTATGTTGAATATTCAATTTTCTAGCTCAGCACCTGGACGTCACATGCGAATCGTACCGATTGCGTGTCGTGTTCTCGAGTCATCCATAAATAAGAAAAAAACCTACATTGAGCGGTTGATTTAATAGCGAAAAAGAAGATAATTTCGAAACTTAATAAAAGGCAAGGATACTTAAATTCAAGATTTGATGGGAAGGCCTAAACTGGCTTTTTTCATTCGTTGCGCACCGATTTTCTTTTCTATTACCATCAAGTGGTATTTCGATCTAAATTTTGCATATAATAAGTAAGCATGACCGAAACATTCAAGGGACTCTAAATTGGTATGGCCTTGTAAAGGTATGGTGAAATTTGGAATCAAAACAGAGAGTCGGGTGCTCATCGAAGCACAAAATTGCAGTCCATTTCGAGCTTTACTATAGTTACTTCTCCTAGTCCTAGACGCCAACGAGGTTTCAATTTCACTTCACGAGCATGACGATGGTAATGAAGAAATCTTAGTACTTTGCTTTATTTTTATTATTATTATTATGACAATTGTTACAATTACTATTACTATCATTTGATAAACTAACTGAAAGTTTCCAAACTCCCACCACCTATTATTCCCCTCGCGCCCGACACTCAACTCAAAACTCAGAACGCCTCTCTCTGTCTCTCTCTCTCATGGCAGCATCTCTCTGGGCGGCTTCCACGACCACAAAAGGCGGCCGTTCTCGGCGTGGTGCGGCTCAAATCGTGTCCTAACCTCAATTGCGATGGCAAGTTCCTCGTGGCGTCCTGGCAGCGACAAGAGCTAGATCTCAGGAACATTTCCTAGATGGGAGTATAAACTAGGGAGTATAATAAGTAGGCGAAGACCTGCTCGTGGACACGGTCATCAAGCTTACGTAGCAGTTGCATAGTGAATCGGTCAGGTGCTTGTGTGGATGTTGGAAAACTTGAGCTCGAGGAAGAGGCTCTAATCCGGCGCTTTGATGGACCCCAGATTCATTCAATGCATCGATATCGATAGATATCGATCGATCTCTCTCCAAATCCCGACATCGATGCTTTGCTGGAGAATTCTTCCTTTCGGGTTCGAATTTCTCGTGCGGAGCCCGGTGCTTGGGAAGATCGGATCGACTTTGACAGGAGGCAAACGATGGCGCAGCTAGTGGGAGGATGGACGGGGACAAAGCTCGGCATATGGATCGGCTCGGTAGAGACGTGGTTTATAGCGGCTCTATGGATGTGGAAGGATGCTGATCGTTTTTCATGTGATAGTTGGACGAAAGCTTTTTTGATTAAGAACTTAGTTACTGGAAGTTAGCTTGGCCGTTACGAGCGAGCATGAAGAATCCCACTCACTAGTGTAGTTTTGAAGGCTCGAAAAATGTCGGCCCCGAGATGGTCCGATCCTCCCTCGTGAGCAGCGCGAAACCAAACTTTGTGTTCGGTCTAGCCCCAGCAGGCACACCACGGTGGTGCCGTAAAAGCGGGAAAACTCAGGCTCCCGTCCGTCGGGCAAGGCGCCGTGGGTGCTTCCTCGAAGCCATGGCCGCTCTCTTTTCCCACTCGCGACATGGCCGCCGTGGAAGCAAGGCAGCTCATTTCCGCCGGTCACCCCATGCCTTGACGAAGCGCCTTATTTCCGACCACCACCACGAATCGCGGCTCACGTCACGGCTCCACCACGCGGCCGCGGATTGCCATCTCAGCCCCAAACAGCGAACCTCAAACCGAAACCACGCGATTCACGCACCTAAACCCAGTCAGACCATGTTCATCGGATTTCGTTGCTACCAGGATGCTCCGTGGGAATTTGCTCCTAGAATCGAGCCCGAGCACACGGTCTTAGCTGCACCACGCTGAGACTAGCGGCCTCCGTCGCCGTGGAAGCAACTAAGGCCTTCATTGCCATTCGCCAATAGTCAATACAGCTGTCGGAGGGCTCATCGTCCCCGCCCGGTTTTTGAATCGCCGCCAAAATTTAAGCCCCGGGGCTCATTTTTGGGCCGCCCGTGTCGCACTAGCCAAAATTTAATTGAGTTTAGGTCGGGCCACTTCAAGCCTTTATTCGAGACAGAGTTCGGTGCAGATCACTCTTTTGAAAAAAAAACCCACCGCTCCTGCTTCGGCCCTTTATTTGAAATTTACTCGAGGCAAGCGGGCGCGCGCGCGCTGCGGCCCGGGTAGAATCCACTTTGATTCCACAAAGTGTTTGGTTGGGCTTTGCCAAGGAGCTTTGAGCCTCCAAAGCCCTTTGGGGGAATTATTTTGTGTTTGGCAAATCGTTTTGGAGTTCTTTGGCCAAATCTTTGGCCTTCAAGTGGTGAAAGCCCGTTAGTCCGGACAGGCCACAGGCTTCAGCCTTCCAGCAATGCTCTTGTTTACCTTTTTTTTTTTTTGGGTTGAATCGTTCTTCACCACATGGGCGAGGGCGGCCGTGAGGGTGGCCGCGAGGAGAGCGGCCGGCGAGGTTGCCTGGGGTCGGGTGACGCCCGGGCCGGCGCCGCCGGCGGCAGCCCCCGGGGCCGTCGCTTCGCGCGACCCAGGCGACGGCCGCCACTGGTCGCGCGACCCAGCGGCCGTCGCTGGGTCGTGCGACCCCGCCGAGGGTCGCCCGGCCTCGGGCGACCGCCGGCGGGCGGCAGATCTCGGCTCGTCGGCGTAGCCGAGGTCGAGCGACCGCCGGCGAGCTGATCTGCCGGCGGCGGCGGCGTAGGCCCTCGCCGGCGGCTGCTCTCGCTGACGGTGGGTTTGTTTTTTTAATAAATAAAATAATTCTCAAAGTCCATTTGCAAAAAAAATTCACCAAACACTATATTTTGGTCAAAGTAGCTTTACAAAATATTTTTACCAAGCACCATTTACATTTGCCCAATGGGCTTTCACTCAAAGGTATTTGCATTCCCCCAAGTAGCATTTTCAAAGTTGAACCAAACGGGCCCAAATGCAACCCTATCGTTTTCCATCGAAGAAGACGATGGACGTGGGCTATTTTAAATAGCCCATCGTTCCATTGAAACGATGCCTACTTCGTTTTCATCGCCTCTTCCCTCTCCCTCTCTCTCCTCCTCGAGACCCTGCAGGTTCTCGCCGCTCCGTGCGCCTTGGCCCACCTGAGAACTC